GCATGGCTGGAAAGCACCAGGCAAACCTCTCAGAGGGCAAGCCTGAAGGCCATCCTGGCCAAACTAGCCTCAGCAGAGTCTGGAAGATGTAACAGTTTGAGCCAATCAGTCCAAAGAGCTGCTACGTGTTAGAGGCATTGGGTTTCACTAAAGTCCTTAAATGATGGGGCTCGTCAGCCCCCTCGGGTGATGAAGCTCAGGCCAGGGATGGTAACAAGCCCCAATGCCTGGAGAATCCATGGGACTGGAAGCAGCTTTGTGAAAGGGAGAAATCCTCTTTCCAATGGAGAGGCCCAGAATCTTATTTTGTCCTTGAGGACAAAACACAAAGAGGTAACTGAGCTGTGTTCACACCTCTTCATTGCTTCATGTAGAAACAGCATCGAATAAAAGACACGAGCAGTAAAATTTAACCAGCTTTCTCTGGGAAATATTTAGTGCTCCCAAGGAGTTACTATTTTTCAAAGTTAAATCTCTCATTCTGTTTCATTTTTCTTTTCAAAATTCCCAGACCAAAGGAAACTCTCTATAGATTAGTACACCCCCAAATTTTCAGTATTTCATGTTTGGAATATGAGAGGGAGAAAATCTCTCTGAAACCTAAATATTTTTCCCCTCTAAAGACCAGACCCATTTTGGGGGAAAATATGCAAAAGTGTTCTCCTTGGGCTGAATGTTGTATGCAGTTTCAGCTTAAAGCACAGTTTTATGGCAGATGTGGAAAATAATCAAAATGGGGGGATATCTGGGAATACTGGCAGATCTTTACTGTGATTGCAGAGCAGATCCTGACACACTATAATACTGGTTTTGTCTTAATCGTCAAAAGTAAGCTATAGAGAACAAAAATTCTTTGTTTGACAGAAAAGCAATTGCTATTTCTTGTAAAACATATAATATATTCCAGAAGACCTAAGGGTTTACTTTTCAATAAGGATAGAAAAAGATGCGCGCCCCACTGTGAGCTCACAGTAAGGCTGTTTCATGTAAAAAGTTGGTAATTAGTCCCTGAGTGAATAAAGTAGAAGAGCTAAGAGACTGATACTTACTGTAGCAACACAAAACACTTTTTTCTAGCTGCTAGGATTTAAAGGGTGTGTGGGTGGGAGGGGGGGACCTACTCCTACTCATTTAATTTACAAGCATCTAAACTTCAGAAAATGATTCCTTGCATTAACTTAAACACGTGTACTTTAAATTGTTACTAACCGATGTAAAGATCGATAAGAGACATTCCAGTTTTTTTAAAAATAACAGGAATGAGGAATTATGTGAAAGCATAAGGGATGTCGTGCTGTACACATCAGTAGCAGATTTCACGCTCATTGTACACGACTGCCTTCAGCAGCTACACCAGCATTGCTTGGTGTCTCACCAAGTTAACTCCTTAGTAGTCAAAGGAAATACTTGTAAAAATAAATCTTTTTAGCCAGAGTTACATAATAAATACCAAGCACAAAAGCAAACTCAAACCACAGGAAAACCATCTACTTAAACTACAAAGTTATTAATTAATCTCATTTGTATCACTACCGACCAACACTAAGTACCACCAGTGAAAACTGTACCATTTCTTGTTCTACCTGCATATCTTGAAGTAACTGGAAATAACCTAATATTCACATGTTTTTCTTTGTTATTACTCATCTTAACCAGAGCTACAGTTTATTATTCTCTCTCAAAAAAAGCCACATAATTTTTATTGCAATTGTGGGTTCAGCAAACCTATTTTTGACAATATAGAAGTATCCCAGGTGAGCTTGAGAGTTTTACACAGTGCTCTCAGCACATATCCTTCAACATCTCTCTGTTCAGACTGTCTCATATGCTTTACTGCAACATTCACTGTTAATGTATGATCAGGCTGCCTCTACATCCCTGCTATTGTAATTGCAGTCCTGAAGAGATCTACACAAAAATGAATGATGTCCTAAACTGTGATTACTTGGACTGTCCCTGATTCAGTATAGAAAGTCAGGAAAATCTACATATTTTCACTGGTTAGCTAATAACATCTTGTTCACAAGCACAGATCCTCACCACAAATAGCAAAAATTTGTTTAGAGAAAAGACATTAAAAGTATTCCCCAGGCTGAATGTGGCATAGGAACCCAGAACTACTTTCTGTTTACTGTTTGTATCAATTGGACTTGTTTCTACATCTTGGCTGCAGTGCTTACGTTGTCACATGTGAGCATTGAAGAAACTGTCCCCCGAGATGAGGAAAGAAAACAGCACAGACCTTCCCCTGCAGTTCTGCAATGCCCATGGCACTCCCTGAGGCCACAGAGCTGACAGGGTCCAGGAGCACACTGCACCCGTGCACTCACTGCCAAAAGCCACTGAGCCTGGGTTTGGGGGTAATACATAATACATAAAATATTATCCTCCTCTTGACTTGGAGTATGGCATCAACACAGCTAAAAACAGAAGAATATATGTCTCTAATTCACATATTAAATTTGCTGTTTTTGTAGAAAAACATTAAAAAGATTGCAATTCTCAGATTTTGTTTCTTCCTTATCTCTGTAAAAATTTATCTTGTGAATTCTTCAATAAATACATAACCCACGCAATAACATTTAAACAGGGGGTAAAAATAATAATGAACCTGGTTTTCCAAGAAGCCAGCACAATCTCATACACAGTATGGCTCAAAATAGAGAGCAACAGAAAGACGCCCTTTGAATTTAAAGGAGTTAAATCAGATAACAGTTTGTAAAACATCCTGACTTTTAAAATTATTTTTAAAGAGGGAAAGAAGTTCCAAATACTGATTCTGAAATCATCATACATGTTACCTTGCTGTTTAATGGTTTAATCTCCAGCATAGTCCCTGTTTTCTGTGGGAATTTTTATGTTCTAGCAATTCATTTGTGATTATATTTTGCATCTGAAACAACCTATTTAAGCTAATTGTAATAGGTGATACTGTTTCTTTTTTAGCTTTATAAAAATATGCTTAGAACACACAATTTTTTAAACCAGGTTACATTAGCTACAAAATACCTTGGGAGTTTTCTGTAGGTACATAAAATAATAAACAGCTATATTTTGTATGAGAAAATGTCCAGTGTAGTACAGGAAAACATGATTATCCAAAGATCTCCAGAGACACTGGCAAAAAGACTTTGGATAAATGAGTTTGAATAGCTAAGGGACCAGGCATAGCAGCTTTGAAGTTTCCAGTCCTCTTCACTTGGGATAATGTAAAGTTCAGATGATTCTGTTGGACAGCCATCACAATTTCAGTATTACTGGCAAGTTCCTTAAGTCAACTAACAAAATTCTGGTGGATGTTATGTCCCCAGCTCCCAAACAAGCAGCACAAATCCAGGAGTCACTCGCTTCATTTCCACAGTGAAACTGGGACAGGAAAAAGGCAGGCAATAACAACCCCAGCAGGAAACCCTGGCCCCGGTTCATGCAAGAGGGAATCCAACGTGCAGCTGGCAGCCAGCACATTCCAGAGGGGCTCTTGCTCAAAGCCTGGAACTCGGGCTCTGGAGGCTGTGTGTGCTGCCACCAGGACCCTTGGCATCTTTCCTATTCTCTTGTTCTAAAGACAATGTTTGCCTCCTCCAACCATTTCCCTCATGTTCCAGCACAAGTTATGTGCAGAAACCAGTATTTGCTCTGTTTAAAGCACTTCTAGGAAAAGCTGCAGTGAGACACAATTTACACAGCCTCCCAGGCTCCTGATGGAGTGGGTGACCAACATGTGTTCCTGTTTTGCAAAGGAAAACACTCATTTCCCCACAATCAGAGGCTGGCATTTAAAATGAACCAAATTCTGCAAAATTCTCCATCTCCTGGGCTCCAAAAATATCCACATGTGAACAGATTTGTCTTTATACAAAGTGAATAAGCAGCATAGTTTTGCCCAGTAGCACCATGCTTTAGCCTTACGAGAAAGTGCTACAGTACTCTACTGATGGTAAAAATGATCAAACACAACCAAAACAAGCTCTCCCAGCAAGTGCTCTCTAATCAGCTCCCTCTTCCTGCATTAGAGCAGCACTCTAATTTGCAAGCTTTAGAATAACTTCTGCATTCACCAGACATGTTAAAAGACAATTTCATCCGAGTGTTTTTTACACAGGGGAGCAAACAATGAGGAGATAATATACTGGCATTTATCTCTGACCAGCATTTCCAGAGCTTGAACTTGCTGTATAGGAACAGAAGATAATCAAACAGAGGCAGAGTGAACAAACTGTACCTGCCGTGCTGATGTAAATGCCCCGTTGTCCAATACCAGAAAAAAAAAAAATCAGTGTTGGATTTCAGAAACCATATGCAGGTTAAAGGGCACCATTCTTATCTAGTATTCCACCCAAAGGACAATGATTTCATTTTATAAAGATCATTAGTCAGTGAAATATATATTTTAGAGAGTTTCTACTAGGGAATATTATTTTGGCAGTCACTGGAGTGTACCAGATGGTTCATTAACATAGGCTAGACAAGTCAAAGGCTTTCAGAATCATTTTGAAAATGTCAAACAGAAACAAGAGCACTGTCACTTTTTATTAGAATTAACTACATCATACCCTGGACACAGATTTCACCTTGGGTCAGAAAAATTAATACAGAATTATATGAATTGTGTAACATAGTAGGTTAAAGATAGGGCTTCCTCTTGGGACTCATTTGCTAGCAATATATTATGGTCTTCTACTTTAGGAATCCTCAACCTTTCTTTCTGTTAGCTATGAAAAGAGCTGACCTTGCTCAGACTCCATTGGTGTCTAATTGATTTGAGGTATATGCAGAATTTCAACAAGACACTCCACTAAAGCTCTTTTGTGATCATTTTCCCAGGAAAGTTGGCAAAAGGGTTCACTGAATATTCAGCAGCTTGTAAAGTATGCTTTTGTCAGGAGGCAAAAAAATACATCCATTTAGTGAAACACTGACTTCATAAACAGGAATTAAAATGCAACTGAATTGTTACCTGTTTGGTTTTTTGTTTTGTTTTTTTTTGTATTATCATGCAGATGTCAAAAATCTCGAGAACTTCCAGCTTGTGGAAGGTGTTCAGGAACAAGTGAATGCTGCTCTGCTGGACTACACCATGTGTAATTACCCACAGCAAACAGACAAATTTGGGCAGCTTCTCCTGCGACTACCAGAAATCCGGGCCATCAGTATGCAGGCCGAAGAATACCTCTACTACAAACACCTGAACGGGGATGTGCCGTGTAATAACCTTCTCATTGAGATGCTGCATGCAAAGAGAGCATAAATTATACCCATTAGAGCTTCTGCTTTCAAGGAAAAGAAATTATTCTGAACTGCTCCAAGCAACACTAATTAAAACGTGGTTTTAAGACTTTGCAAAATGGTATAATAATCAAATACTAATAGTAAATAAGTGATGTATCAGGGTATTTGTATTGCAAACTGTGAATCATATACTACACATCCCCAAAGGAATCTATATAGGACTTTATACTGGACTGAACTTACCAAGTGGATACCATCACCAATGTCAAGAAAAAAAAGGACAGAATGATCGTTGTGTATTTAACTCTGCTGATTGCCAACATGAAGAAACCTAGGTGAAAAAAAACCTGATCTGTATTATTGAGCTAAGATGGTGGGGAATTTGAGTGCACTAAATTCCTTCACTGCATAGAAGGACTCGTAAAACAGTTACAACAGATGCAAAACTGCATCTACAGCATCTTCTGTCATCCTTACAGGGACCCAACACTTACTTCTTCTGTGCTAAATGATGTGGCATCCATTGAACAAGCTGTAAGAGAGAGCTGGCCTAGGCCACGTGCTGTGTGCTGTGGCCACCAAACCCTCCGAGCTGGGCCTGCCTGTGGGGCCTGCAAACCGCTCCTAGGAAGTCTGGGATCCAGTTAGCTTGGCACTCTTAACTGTGTTCTGAAGTTTGTTTTGTCACGTGTTCATGTTGTTCTACCAGGCAGTATCCCTCTTCTACTGCTCTTAACAGATAGCTGTTAAGCAGCTAAGGAAATATTCCAACTAAATTAGCCAATTCAACTGCATATTCAACCAGCTGCTAAAAGATGGCTCCACTATATTTTCATAGCTGTTTCCAAATAAAGGAAATAGAGATATTTCAGCCATACCAAACAACACTTTCTTTGACAAGAAAACAGAAATTAGAACACCTAATACTGGTGTTAAATAACAAAAAATAATTTTTTAAAAGAATTTGTGATAAAAATAGTGACAAGTGAATTGTGTGACAAGTGAATTGTACAACTGGATGATGCCACAGAGCTTATTAAGAAATGATCTTTAAAATTGCATTAATTTGGAAACTAAATTTCAACTCAAACATCCAATATCTAATGAAACTTCCTGTTTTCAAAGTTAGGTAATACACCTATTTTACGCAAAGAAAGAAGAGTGATACTGCTGTGTCTATGTAGGCCAAAGTCTGCTGCAGAACAAATATTAGAAAAGAACAAACACTTCTCTCTCTGTCCAAATGAAGATATCAGTATTAACATGTAGTGCCACATTTATAAGTCTTGCCTTATTTCATTACCCTTAAAGGTAACTGCGCAGGTGTAGATCAACATACATTTCAAACTAAAGTATTAATCTCTAGCATTAACAAAAACATAGTGTTTACATTCTTTAGGTCCTGTGGGGAAAAACTGTGATAAAATTGCAGAGCAGTGATTTCCTTATTATTTCTTTTAAATTGGTAATTATTTTACCAGAACTTAATTACTGTATGTCGTGAGACACTAAAATCAATAGGGGTATTTCATTTTTACTTTAATTTTTGAGATTATCGGCTGCACAATCACTTGTAGAAACTGTATAAAATCCTAATACTTTAATTTTTTTTTCATGAAGATTGCTGGCTTTTGAATAGTTTATTTATATTGTATATGATAGTTTTCACTGTAGACAATTATGATGCTAATTTATTGTTCTTTGGTTTCATCTTTATATAAGATATAGCCAGAATGAAGAAGCCAAATATATGTGTTTACTGTAGCATGTCTTCAAGTTAGTGGAACATAGTTCAGGGACACAGAAGGGTCTTTACAAATTAAAATCATTCACTTGATTAAATGTCTGTAAATCTTCATAATCCTAAATGTAGTTTATTTAAATCTATTGTAAATTATGTGAGTTGTAACTTTTTCTGTTTCATGTGAACTTGAAAAGGTGCATTTCTCTCACTTTTGTCCAACCATTCGTACTTTGTATACCAAAGACATCAGTTATTACATCTGCATTAGTACGAAGCACACGATTTTAATTGCCTGTATTAATCAGCTCTAATATTCTGTCCATGCATAGGGTACCAACACAGCAAAGCCAAGTGTCTGCAACCCCTACATGCCTGTTACTGTCCTACAGACCTCGAGCAAATCGAGCACAGCCCCTCAGCATCCCCCAGGGCAGATGGAAGCATTATTTAAATACCAGTGCTCTCCCTCAAACAAACGAAATTAACACTAAAGTGCAGGTGCCGGTTGACGGTGCCTGTGAAATACACGAACAAGATAAGTGTGGTCATTCTTTCCTTTCAGAAAGAAAAGCAAAGCATTAATTCAAGTGTTTGCATTCTGTATTTTCTCTTTTTTTTTCCTGTTGAAATGCTACAGTGAACTTCACTGAATATTAAGGAAAAAGCTGAAAAAATATTGCTAAATATTCATAGCACCATTATCCATATACAGGACAGAAGAATTAAAATAAGAATGTAGAAGAAAGGAACAATTTAGGTTCATGAAAATGGTTTCAGATAATCAAAGATATATTTGCCCACATCCGGGGTTCCAAGAATCCCATCGTATTGCCCGAAGTACACGAACAAAACAAAACAAAACAGACCACAAAAAGAACCCGCTCATGTTAATTGTTAACTACTTTGCAACCAAGCATTTTCTTCTGACAGCCTTATTGATTACAGGATATATTAGTAAAAGCAGACTAAAATTCAAAAAGTTTAGCTTTGGCTGGTTTATTATAGTTGTTCTGTGTTTGTAAACAGACAATCTGTAAGGTCTGATTATTTGTATTACAGATGTTCTGCAGCTGCCTTGGATTTAAATCCATGCAACTCTTAGAATGTGCAGTGAGTTACTTGTTGAAGTTGAAGTTCTCTTACTGTATCAGTGAAATACATATTGTCATGTCAGTTCTTGCCAAGAGTTTCTCATCACCAATGGAATTATTTTTTTCAGTATTTCAATAAATATTGATATGCCCGTGCTGATTACTTTATAATTGTCTTTATAATACCATCATTCCGCTGGAATGAAGCATCAGTCAAAAATCAGTTACTCAGAAGAGGAGAGTAAAATGCAGGAGAAATATGAGCACCAAAGAGAATTTGATACAACTGGAAGACTCAAGTGTAGAGAAGAGCACCTTGAAAAGCTCAGACAGCAATGGTGACATTGCCTAGGCTGAAGCCAAGTAGATACAGCTAAAATAGTTTAGAAAAGCTGACTCTCTAACCAGAAAGAAATTTACTGCTTAATACTTTCAAATTAATACCTTTGATCTCATACTGCACATAATTTTTGCTTTACATGTACCCAGAACGAGTTAAGCAGCCAAAGCATCAGGGAGGGAAAATGACAGAACAAAAGAAAATCAGGTAACAGGATCCAGCAGAGCTCAGGATAACCTCTCAGCAATGTAAATACATGGCAGGGCCAGGGGCAAACCCACAGCTTCCAACACAACTGCCAGTGCAGGCTGCCAAGGAGACAGATGTTACTGCTACCACAGGAAAATATTTTCCTAAAGTTGCCCTCTGGCTCATTTGAGCTCTGTTCTGAGAGCAGGAGGTGAAGTGGTCCAAGAGAGCTCGTCAGCTGTACCCTACTGTTTTGAGACTGAGTCCAGTGCTTCCCCTGAACTGTCTGGTACTTGAAACAGGGCTGTACTCTCAGGTGCCAAATGTTAATGCTTCAAGGGAAAAAACAGGGCTATAATTAGTTATTTACAAATCCTGCACTTGAATGAAACAAAGCTGGTTTAGTGTTGTAATAAAAGCAGAGTAAAACACAGAGGATTTGGTGGCTTATAAATGAGGAAGGATTATTTTAACTTTTAGGAATCATAACAGAAACCCATGGTTTTGCAGAGACCCAGGGGAGATTTCAGGGTTGATATATTTTAGATAGTTTTCCTTACAAGAGATATATTTTGGTGCGATATATTTAGTATACACACTACATGTTTAAAGTATGAGGGGATTTATTTTTAACTGAGTATGACACTGCTTCTGGAACAATCTGCTGTATGTTTTTATTGGAAACATGGAAAGAGTGAGTTCAATGTAACACAGGTCAAGTCAGTACAATACTTGGTGATCTTGACAATTTCCTGGAATGCTGAATAACACTCTATTAACCCCTACATCGAAACCCATAGTCTAAATACATCACAGGAGTTCTAACAATATTTTTACCTTCTCTGACAGAGTTGCTGGTTTTTTTCCAGAGAAATTCCATATAGCTGCATCTGTCAGAATTTGGAATGGCAAACAACATGAAAGTAACTAGCAAACCAAGAAAGTTGCAGATAAACTTCTAGGGGCAGATCCTAGAGCTGTATTACACTATGATACTGGCATGAGCCCAAATACTTCTGTGACAGTCAAGCAAATTCAGTTCCACAAGAGGAGAAAAAAGATTCATTTTCTAAGGGCAACTTGTCAACAAAAAAACTTATCCTTAATGAGAAAGGTAAAAGGGGACCTGACCCTCAGATGGAGTACACAGCTGATGCCTACTCTAATGCCAGTGCATCTCAGCAAAAGGCAGCAGCACTAGAAGATACTTGACAGATACAGTCTGGGCTGGCACACACTGGTGGGACAAGATGTAGATTCTCTGCATCAAACACTCTTTGCAAACCTTTGGGTTTGCTCCAATACATAACAAAATGCTCTCTATTTTCCTGACAGTTCTGAAGTCTGGCATGCAAGCTTGGATTTGCAGTACTAGGTGAGCTTTCACCATTGCCCCAGGAAGGTCCTGACCCATTTCCCTTTCACTGTAATTTCTCTAAGTCCTACCATTAACTGCTGTGAAGCTGTGAACATCCTGTGTGTGCCCCAGGGGATAATTCAGACTTGTGGTAAAGCAAGGTGGTGGAGCACAAGCTCCTGATGGTGTCTGCATTCATGGAGGCCTAGACCACTGCTGCCCTTCCTCACCAAGGACTGCAGGGTTTACCATTAGTTGCTAATAAAACAGAGACCAAAACAAACAGCACTGGAGTCAA